GGAATTCCTAACACACTTACAGTACATTATGCCATTTATTATGGCTCATTAACCAGATCTTTCTGGACCCAGTGCTGATTAAATTTATTAAATGCCCACACTAAAAGCTCTAGGCACTCTAACAGTTAATTAGGTTTACAGGTATAAATGATAATCACAGAGAAGTCATAACTAAATAACTAGTTCTCCATCAGTCAGCAAATCAAGTAACAAAACAGCTTCTTTTCCACCCACTGCTTCAGAAGGAAAAATCTATTTAGGAGAAATCTAGTTCTGTTTTCCTTGCTCTTCAGCCTCTTCAAGACCCAAGTACTGGCAAAGAACCAACAATATTTTCTGTGAGCAGGATGCCCGCTGCTTCTTCAGGAGGAACCCCCTGCACTTCTTGCAAATCTCCCTTCCTAAAACCACGCTCAGACCTTCTTTACACCTGCCCTTTATGTCGGAGACACGGGCTGCAGAGGTGGAACCCTGCTACACCCAGCCTTCCCCCAGAAACCACGAAGGCAGCTCGGCGCAAAGGCTGGTGATTGAGTGAGGGAGTTTCTGCGTATCCTGAGACCACGCAGGGGGTGGAGCAGGAAGGAGAAGAAAAAAAAATGACAGCTACAAGCCAGATAGATACTGAACAAGTAAAACCAAGGGGACAAATAGCTCAAAAGGGATCTAATTTCCCTGGTTTTCCTGCTGTAAAAATAAATCACCACTAAAAAAAAATATATATTCAAGCACTATCGTATCGTTAAGTCTCATGATAAATTTTTGGCTCTTATTCCCCAAATCCTTACTCCATTAAATCTGCTGAAGACACCAGGATTTCTCAAATGAGAAATGGTGTGCAGGGATAGGACATTTATTACCTACCTTTCAAACAACAAGATAAAGCAGTTGGTATTCTCTTTCAATGCATGAGAGGGCTCCTGCCAGGCTTATTTATTTATCATGAGGCTTCATCGGTATCGTCTGAGAGGCAAAAGATTTTAATACTCCCATCAGATAGAAAAGATGAAGGCAAGCTAAGAACATACCCATAATAGGAATGCAAGAATTCCTGTAAATTTTGCCACAGGGAAATTAGTTTGCTTCAGGGGTATAAAGCTCTTGAACCAAATCAGAGATAAAACTCTGCTGAAGAATTATCTCCACGCAACAGAAAACTTCAAACGCTGTAAACAAACAATACGAAACAGCACAACACTTACTGTGCAGAAAGACTTCATCTCCTCACAAAATACAGATTTTTATTTTGATGAAAAACAGGACAATTTCATGTGGATACCTAAAAAAAGGTTTTGTTGTGGTTTTGTTTTGTTTTGTTTAAAAAAAACCCAAACAACAAAATAAAAACAAAAACAACTCTCATGTAGCTGTTTGCAGTCAAGGAAAATGTCCCTGCATGAATTTAGCTGGAATTTCTCCTTTTCCCTCCTGCCGACAAGCAGTAATCCCCTGCACACACAAAGAACCATCAGAACCACGGGCCCGATCCCAGACACGCTCAAAACCACGAAAGAGGACAAGAACTACACAGAGCATTCAAGACCTTTGCTTTGAAACAGGGGAAAGAGACTGAGAAGAACAACCTTGAGCTGCCTCCAGGGCTGCTTTTTGGAGGGACTCCTGATCCGGACGGGCAGGCAGAAAAGAGGCTGCGGTGGCTCTAACCCGGGCTCCAGGGAGTCCTTTCATCTGATCCCTGCTACAGGCACCTGCTGCTGCTTGCGGATCTTGTTGAACAGCTCCATGTACTGCACCATGGTGTCTGCGGGGCTGTAGATGCTGTCGTGCTTGGTGCCAAACACGGAGGGGATGCCGGGAGTGTGGTTCCCCATGAAGCTCTGCATGAACTCCATGAGCAGGTTCCAGCAGTCGTTGGCTATCACGCAGGGGCAGTACTCCACCTGGCAACAGAAACCACAGCCCTGAAACCTGTGGCAGGGGCAATAACCACACAGGAGGCAATACGCCTTCTCCTCTTGATAGAGAGAGAATGCTTTTCATCAACACATCCGAGAATATTTAGCATATAACAAGGATGGATAAATATAAATGAACAGGACATGCCGGGAACACACAAGCAATCCCCTCAAAAGGGAAAGGAGTGGGGAGGTAAAACAGAATCATCTATCACAGAACCATCTAGACTGAAAAAGACCTTGAAGATCACCTAGTCCAACCATAAAACATACGCTGTAAGGGCATCACTTTTATTAAATCCCCAAGAGCGGAGGTCTTCGGGGTTCAAACGTCACATTAACTTCACCCCATCCGAAACCAAAGTTCATTCCCACGTGCTGATAGGTCGATGACTCGCCTGGCTGTGACATCTTTCAGGGGTGTACTGGAAAAAGCCTTGGGACTTAAGGACTTGAAGCATTTTGCTAAATATAAGTCTGGTCCCAAATCAGGAGTAGGTCCTAATGCAAACCCTGAAAAAAATTACTAAAACAGAAGCAGTCAGACCGCCTGGTAAATCTGGCCCTGAACTCAAGTTTAGGGTAAAACAAGCTTCTGTTTAACCCCAGGTCAACAGCAACATTAATGCTACAACATCTGTGTTTACTGCAGTGAAGAAATAAGCCATTTCTCAATCCTCCTCCCTGCTGGCTAGGAACACCTGCCTGATGAATTGTATAGCAGATAATAGGATTTGTGTTTAGAAAAAGCATAAGCTCTGATTTTGAAAGACCTTTTAAGCATCTAATTCTCAGCTATCTTGAAGACTGTTAGGCACCTATATATCTAGATGCCTGGAGTCTGACTTACTCTGCTTTGCCCTTCCCATACAAGCACAGCCCAGTTGCTTGACTTTTTCCAAGGTGTTTTTAAGCCCAGCTGAGGCTTCTCTGAGGCTTGTGAGCCTTTGACTCCCACTTGCACTCAGCCAAGTACCTCCTCAGACGCCTTCCTAGATCCTCCCATGCCCCTTCATGTACACCAAAGGATCTTTTCTTCAGAGTTTGCTTCAGCCCAGCCTCCACCCTGTGAAATACCCATGGGCACAGCTGGCAACCGCCACTCTAGAGCCACATCAGCAGTCACAACGCCGAGCAGAGAGCACCGAAGTGATGTGATGGCTGGCGTCGAGCCCACCGTGCACCCCATGGTGCAGCAATGTGGGTTGGCACATGGTGGGGTGGGACCGACGCCTGCCACGACCTCCCTGGTGAGGAGAAGATCATCTCTACACCGTGTGAGCACAACTTGGGGCAAGAGGGCCCTGCTCTCCTGGGGCTGCGTCTGCTCGAGATGGAGAAAGCAAGCAAGACCCAAATCAGCATTGAATTAGCAGCTGAAGTGGCTGTTTTGTCCCCCTCGGTACTCTTATTAACCTGAAGTGCATGACTAGTGGTGTGCATCAAGACTTTAAGCAGCTTTTTAGTTTGATGGCATCCCTTCAGGGTTTTGTTTATTGACACTTCAATGACAGGCTTTTCCACAGCTGCAGCTGAGCCCCAAAGTACCTGTCTGCATTAAAACACGTTGTGAAAAGGAGATAAATACCCTGCCTGCTGCATACATGAACGCATCTAATACAAACAACCAGCAATCGAGACACAGAAGGGATGGGGGGATTTCTCATCTAGCCTCCAACATGGGATTTCCCTTGTTGTATTTCCCCTAGTTGTATTTCACACCCTTCAAAAACAATTCTTACCTCCACAGATATCCCACGGGCACTGGGCCCCATTGTAACCGTGCCCACCTTCACCAAGAAGTCACAGTACTGGTAGCGGGTGCCCCGGCTCTCTATCTTGTTTGCCTTGGCGTTTTGGAAGAAGCCTTTCAACTTCACCATAAGTGTATCAAAGTTGGCATCTGCTATGAGACAGGGACCGTTTTCAAAGAGAGCGAAGCAGCTGAGGGGATATTCGGAGTTGTGCATCACGTACATCAGCTTGCCTGTCTGCCCTGAAATAAGAGCAATGGTATTTGGGCTGTAAAACCAACTAAAGAAGCATCTGGCTTTTCCTTTGTCCTTCTTGTGGCTTTAATTCTAGGATCCTTGTACCGTGCATACACCCTTCATATTATCCAGCTGTTCAGTAAATAGACTGCATTTCCTCTTAAGATTTAAAGTTGAAAACCAAAATCTTCTGCAGCCCAAGGATAATACACCAGCATGACTCAGAGACCAGAGGGTGAGCTGGATGTCCCCAGCAGGCTGGTGGGGGGTGTCAGCAAAAAATACCCACCTCCCATCCTCAAATACAGGGCTGGGCATCCACTGACTGTCATCCTGCCCACAGTCACTGGAGAAAGGCTGGGCTTTGTCTCTCCTCCCTCTCACCCACCAGTCCTGCCAGTGGATGATGTGCTGGGACATGCTCTGGAAAATAAGGTGTCCAGGGAAGACACGCCTGGCTTCTACCATGCTTTAAAAAATGGAAAAAAATTCTCATTGATCCACAAAGGTCAAAATAACCTTTCCACGCATGTGGCCATGTAAGTTCCAGTTGCAGAAAAAGCAGCAAAAAGCCAACAGTAGCTTCACTTGGATCCGTGAGGGCAAACGGGCTGAGCAGAGCCCTAAGGCTGCACAGGCTCAGCGCTGCCTCTGCAGTGGCACAGCCACGGCCGAGATGTTGGCACGAGTGTGGTTAAACGCTGTGAAAATCGAGGGGTGCTTCGGAGGGATGAACAGGCTGGACCAGCCCCTCAGGTGAGCAGGCCGTGCTGTACCTTCGAGCTACCATTTCGGGTCGTGCTATGTCAAAAGATTTAGGGTCCTCCGAGCATGTCCCCTGGAAACAGCTGGGTCATGTCACACCTCAAACCCTCCCTGAGCCGCACCCCCACTGCCCTGGGAGCCATCGCCCCTCTCTGCCACCACCTGCCCTCGAGTGACTGCCCCTTGGAGACAGGCACTGCAGGCAGGCGCTGCCAGACTTGTGCCCATCCTCTCCGGAGCAAAACACAACCGCCAAGGCAGCTCAGACAGAAGAAGTTTCATGGAAAAATACACCGACAGCAAAGATACCCGGTATGGCTGAGCGGGAATGCTCAAGGTAGGGCTCTCCCACGGCTGTTCTCGGGGCTGGGCAACGCAGGGAGGGACGGGGGCAACCAACACCAGCGCGGGGGCAAACCAGCACAGCCAAGCATTCGCAGCACCGGTCCCAGCCTCGCACCGGCCCTCGCCGGCTGCCCCAGGACCGTTTACAGGGACGCTCTTTCTCCCAGAAGAAAGAAGGAGCCGTGAGGAACCATGGCAGGCGCCTGCTGCAGCAGAGGAGACATCCTGAAGGCAGCCAGAGGGCCGCTCGCTCCCCGCCACGAGAAATAAACCGGCGATGACCTGCGGGAAAACCTTCGGCCCTCCCAGCCCCGGATAACGCCTCGCCCCCCGCAGACAACCCTTCCACCGGACACCGTGCTGTCACCGCCGCTGGGGGGGTCACCAACAGCCCCCTGGGCGCAAGGTCGAGGACCTGGAAGCGGTACCGGGAGAAGAACCGGCTG